GGGGGCTCCGGAGTGGAACAGTCAGTTCTTCTCTCTCGCCCCGGGGAAAGTTCCGGGCTCCCGGGCGCCTCAGCCCTTCCTTGGCTCCCTCAGCCGAGTGCTTAAAGGGGAGAGGTCCCCCCAGCGGGAGGTGGAGAGGGGGTGTGTGGCGGGGAAGGTCCCGGGGCGGGGCCTGCGGTCGTGACGTAGACGTGGGCGGGGCGCTCCCGCTGGCCTCGAAAATGGCTGATCGGTTGCTGGAAAGGTTTCCGTGGACCGCACCACCTGACTCGGGGGGAGCTCGCCTGATCGTGGCGTTGGTTGGGCCCTAGCAGAATCAAGTGTTCGAGTTTGCATTGTATTGTATTTGTTGTGATGTTTCGAGTCTTTCCCACTCAGTGAACCAAGACGGAGGCGGGGGTCAGTCGCTGACCCGGGCTCAGTATAAGACTCCTGGCCTTGTGTCACTTCCGGGTCCCAGGAGGAAGTGGGTTGGTTGACTGGGCAACCGCCTGGCGTCCCTTTACCTCTGTGTTTCTCCACCACCAAGTTTAAATAATGAGGTCAGATTCACCCTTTGTGGGCAAAGAAAGTCAGGATGGGGAACCTTTGTATCTGTGAGTGTCGCTTATCATCCACCTTTTACTTGCTACTAGGACAGAAGTTTAAATGTGACGTTTTTCGTTTAACAACCCTAATCAAGGAACAGACCTTAGATGTAATGTGGAGATAACCATACGGACATTAAAGAGAACTTCTTGGATCCATTGTCTTTTACTAGACACACCACTAATTTTGTGACTTAAGGAATCGCCTCTGGGATGACATTTTCTGGCCCATAGCATGTTGGAGCACTTGGGTGTCTCTTTTTCAGTCTGTAAACTTGTTTTCTGAACCCATCTGAGTGATAGGGCTAATCTTTGTTTGGGAAAATAGAATACTAATTCCTTACTGTATGCCAGTCGCTGCCACAGGTCCAGAATATATGAAGCAAAAACTAGATATAATTTGCAATGTTTAACTTTGTTAATTGGTTGGAGAATATTTTGTTCTAAAGCCAGCTATTTCAAGAATACATCCATGTTCTCACAATACATAGGTAAACTTTTTTCCTTCCCTTCCTTATTTCTTCCATCCTTTTGTTGTTGTTTGTTTGTTTTTGGTACCGGGGATGGAACTTGGGTGCGTGCGCTGGCGAGGCAGGTGCCTGAACCACTGAGCTAAATCAGTTACCTCCTTACTTTTGGTTTTTAAAATACTAGCAGTCCAGTGTTACATTCTACAGATATGGAGCACATATGTGAATGGTAACCTAAAATGAGATATGTGCTTAAGAATTAGATATTGAATATATTTCGTTTATCAGATAACACTGTTTATAAAGCATACATATTTTTACATTTCTTAAATGGCATATGTGTACCTTCACGAAAGTTACTCTGCTTTGGGTTGGAGGGGAACACTATAATTTGTTGAGAGGGAAATACGCTTCTGATCATCTGAAATTGTCCTGAATTACTTTGATAACGTGAGTAGTAGGTTTTACAAGATTGGAGGTATCTAAAAGCTCTTAAGATTGTGATTAGTTTTAAGATTTATACAAAAACAATGATCTTGTTTTCACTTTATGCACATGGTTATTAAGTTCACCTTTCACAATTGTTTTTATTAGCTTTATATAATTTTGTGTTCTTAATTCAGATTTGATTTTTTTGGGAATAGTTTTTAAGTATCTTCTGGTTTGGGATCTAATGCTTATAACAGCTGTTAGTGATATAAATTATATGGGCAATAAATTTCCTCCCACCTATTTGAGACACTATAAGAAATTATGAAGAACTCATCAAAAAGAGAAAACATTTTAAAGTTGATGTAGTTATTTTGGAATGTGGTTATTAAATAACTTATTTTTGCTCCAGAGTTCTCATTCATTATTTCTTATGTAAATAATCTTTGAACTAAAACCTAATCCTTAAAGTGCTTTTTATACATCCTAGAGAAAGTGCTTAAATTGTGAAGTCAGATATACAGATCTAGCAGTGTTAAAGTCTGAAGGTTTTACTTCTTGAATTTTATTTTCTTAACATGTAGAACCAATCACGACTTTGTGCATTTGCTATGATTGAGAAAAACTATCACATAGAGGAGGCTGAGTAAATGTTAATTTCCTTTCTTACTATATAACCGATATGTCTTAAAAATGTGAATTTTAATCTCATGTACAGTATCAGTGTGCAAGTATGATATATAATTAACTCGATTATTAGATACAGAATATTTGAATGATATTTTTAATCCTCAAAAAATATTTTTGTGTCTGACAGGAAAGTGTCTAATTTCCTTACTTTCCTGTAGGAAAAGTAGGTTCTCAGGAAATCTACTTATATACCTAGCTGAGAAAATGGGGTAGATACGAACTTTGTTCAAAAATATTATTGCAAATATGACTACCCTCCACTGTGGCAGCACGTTAGTGATGTATTCTATGTTAGGCAGTTGTCTATCACAAAGAATTAAAATACCTGCAATTTTAAGGTGGAGCTAATCTGTGTTAAATATTTCCTTTATATTACCTTACTTGCAGATAGTGCCAGTATATATATTTCACTTAACATTTCTATTCTTTAGATTAATATAATATTGGAATACAAGACATTGCTATGGCATGCAATGGTAATGCAATATAAAACTGTGGTATGCCATGTGATGTAATAAATTTGAGTTGATGTTTATTTTTCTACCTCTAATAGTACAGAATTCTTTCAGATAACATATAAGAAATAGAAAAGATTTGAATAAAAAGTAGTCTTGAATAAATTTTTGGTGACATTTGAAACTGTATTTTCAGATTTTTGTATGCTTTCTAGTAACTTAGTTGTTTTTATTTGATGCAAATAAGTGTCCCACTTGCTATATAACTAAATAAGCAATTCTGAAATCTTGGAGCCAACTGCTGAATTATCTACAAAGGCAAAATCATCCAGTGCTGACTACTGTAATTTTGTTGTTGCCTGGTCAGTTGATGCCAAAAGCAATGAACGTACTTTAGAAATAGTTTGATTTTCAGAATTTCTCATATGATACTAAAATAAAGGAACCATTAAAACTAAGAAATGGGAGGCTAGAAGTTGCTGATGTCTACTTTAAGAATGAATCTATTAAAAACTAATCTCACAAAAAGATGTTAAAGGTTATGATGTGAAATTAAATGTATCAATCTCTAAAGTCATGTAGCAAGTCATTGATTGAACAGTAAATTCTAGAAGCACAGTTGAGAGTAATGTATAGCTTTGTCCCGGAACCTTTTCAAATGTTATAGCTGGAGTCTAACATCTAAATTGTATATATAGGGTTGTTTTGAAGTTCAAATGAGGTATAGGTGATGAGATACAAGGTAGATTTAATGTGGAATGCAGGTTTTGGTTTTTTTTTTTCCTATACTGGGGATCAAACTCAGGCCCTTGAGTTTGCAAGGCAGGCGGCGAAACCACTGAGCTAAGTCCCTGGCCTGGCAGTATTCTTCTTGTGTAAAATACTTCTGATTATTTGCTACATATCTCATCCTTTTTAATATGGGTTAGTAATATTAATGTTTCATGTTTTTGCATTAGTTTACTTCTAAAATACTTTTATATTGGATAATGTGGTCTTTCTATGGGGAATTTTTTTTCTTTTTTTCTTTTTTTTATACTGGGGATTGAACTCAGGACCGCTTTCGAGGCAGGTGGTGGAACCACTGAGCTAAATCCCCGGCCCCTGGGGAATATAGTTTTAATGTGTACTTACTGAAGGAGTGTGATTTCAAGCTTTGGGATAGTTCTAACTTGTATATGTTCTAAATTGTGTATGTTAATGCACAAAATAGTCTCATTTTCCTTTTCCTTTTTTAGAAACATTAAAGGAAATTGATGATGTCTATGAAAAATATAAGAAAGAAGATGATTCAAACCAGAAAAAACGCCTACAGCAGCATCTCCAGAGAGCACTGATAAATAGTCAAGAATTGGGAGATGAGAAAATTCAGATTGTCACACAAATGCTTGAATTGGTAGAAAATCGAGCAAGACAAATGGAATTGCATTCACAGTGTCTTCAAGATCCTGCTGAAAGTGAACGAGCCTCAGATAAGGCAAAGATGGATTCTAGCCAACCAGAAAGATCTTCGAGAAGACCTCGCCGACAGCGAACCAGTGAAAGCCGTGATTTATGTCACATGACAAATGGGATTGAAGACTGTGATGATCAGCCACCTAAAGAAAAGAAATCCAAGTCAGCCAAGAAAAAGAAACGTTCTAAGGCTAAGCAAGAAAGAGAAGCTTCACCTGTTGAGTTTGCAATAGATCCCAATGAACCTACGTACTGTTTATGTAACCAAGTGTCTTATGGGGAAATGATAGGATGTGACAATGAACAGTGTCCAATTGAATGGTTTCACTTTTCATGTGTTTCACTTACATATAAACCAAAGGGGAAATGGTATTGCCCAAAATGCAGGGGAGATAATGAAAAAACAATGGACAAAAGTACTGAAAAGACAAAAAAAGAGAGAAGATCGAGGTAGTAAAGGCCATCCATATTTTAAAGGGTTGTCTTTTATATAATTCATTTACTTTCAGAAAATGTTTTAGGATAAATGCATAAGACTATGCAATAATTTTTAATCATTAGTATTAATGGTGTATTAAAAGTTGTTGTTCTTTGTCTGTGACCTTAATTTTCTGCACTGAATTACCAAATATTTTAAACCAGGTAATCTTCAGATCACCTGATGAAAGGAACAGGGAATAGGGAAAGAGGAGTGTGAACATTATAAAAACTTCACAAACCATGCCTATTTCATTTCTGCTTAAAACTTCAGTACTACTTTTTGGGTAAACACAAACATTTTGCTAGAAGTTTGGTTCTGTGTACTTAAAAAATTTAGGTGTACTTGTATTTCTCTATAAACATCAAGTTATCTTGGGTAATTTAAAATGTGACCACTATTAAGAGCTTCTTTTTCCCTAGTCCTTTTTATACATACGCTTGTTAATCTCTAGTCTTCCAGAATTTTGAGAAACTAGAGATAGAATTATTTGGGATTCCATGTGGAATAACGTGCTCTTACTAGAGTATTTGCTGCTGTATTTTCCTTAGTAGCATTTTGATACACTGTTAGTACACCATTTGTAAATGCCTTGCTGCTTCCTCAAAATACATACATTTAATTTAGTGTTTATTAAGGGAGTTATTTTGGGTTTAAATTGGGACAGGTAAGAGTAGTTAGGACACCAAAATGCTGCCATTGACTTAATATTGGCAAAATTTATTTTATATAGTATCATGGTTTAAGGCTGATCGATTTTCATGCATCTTCATCTTTTTCATGTCACTCACTGATGGGATGCTTAGCTGCAGGCCTCTCGGTGGAAAAAGGACATATACTGATCTTTAAAATACTGCCTTTAGGTCAAACAGTTGCTTTAAAAAGTTCTACTAGGGGATATGATTCATTTCTGTCCCAATCAGTGATTATACATTATTTTAAATAATAGCGTATTTATCTTCTTAACTTTCTGGTATTAGTGCTGTTTGATGTTTTTCATGTTTAATGAACTAATTTCACTATAACAATGATTTAATAATGTATTTGTAAATTGAATTTTCCAAGATTCTAGTGTTTTAAGGATAAGCATCTTGATGGATAAATGTCCGTATGTTTGGAGCACTTTCTGGTTTTGGGGAGTCAGCAGATTAGTCCTTTAACTCTATGTATAACAGACTTTTTATTCCTCATTTCTTCCTAATCTAATGATCTCGATTTTTTAATTATTAACATTGGAAAAGTCCTGTCTGCTTGTTTGGGAAAAAAATTGTTTTTTCTCTCCTGGCTCTCCTGTGTGACTTTCGGGTGTGACATTTCACCTTGTCTGAGTGTCAGGTCATTATCCTATAAAATGAATTGGCTTATATATCTCCAAAGTCTTTTTGAGGTCTTTAGTTTGCATAGCATTGGATTTTAATAATTAAATGACTTTTTCGTTAATGTTTTCTCCATTGTGAGATAAAGAGTTTAAAGATGAGCTTAGAGATGAATATATGTACAATATTCAGCTAGTTTATTTCCTAAGGTTATTTTAATTGATTCCTAGAGTCAGTTGGATATATTACTTCTTCAGAAATATTAGCATTGAGTAATAAATTATTTTACTCTACCTTTGTTGAGTTTTAAAGACTCCCCCCTTTTTTTGTTTGAGATAGGGTCTCACTATGTAGTTGAGACTGACCTGGAACTCACAGCAAACCTCCTGCCTCAGCTCTGGAACTCAACAGCGATTTTCCTTCCTCAACCTCCTGAGTGCTGGGATTACGGGTGTGCGTCACCATACTTGGCTTAAGAAACCCTTCTCTGGAGGATACAGCATTTTGTTTTAAGTGATTATGACCTTGTTAACAGAATGGAGCTGACAACATTTAACTGGCACTTAATACCAATTTGAGGAAAGCCCTAAAAGCCTTCAGATATGACTTATATAGAAGTCACTACGTTTTTGTATATAAATTGCCTCCATATCTTGCGGGGGGAGAGTAAACTTCCTAATAAAAGTACCCAAGTTTAGGTTAGACTTAGGAAAACAAACGTAGAAAATCAAGAAAGATGTGTTTTCTCTAAGACCTAATATTTAAGTTATTTTTATGAATTTTTATTTTAGTTGTCTACATACCACATGGGAAATAGAAGTCCTAGGTTTATATAACATGACTGGGACTTCTTTTGTTTAATATTCGAGATTTCATAATTCTATTTCATCTCATGGGTGCTAACTCAAACTACATCTCAGTAGTTCCCAAACATGACTTACATTGGCATTACCTTTAGAGCTTCAGAAAACACTTGATACCTCAGTCTCGACCCAAGTAATTGTTATCTAATTCATTTGGAATGGGGCTTAAACATTAATATTTTTTAATGATCCTCATTCTAAAGTACAGAGACGTTTTGGAACGACTGCCCAGTTTCGAAAATTATAGCCTATTGAAAATGGTTGATGGATTCTCAACATCCAAATTTGGGCAACTCTGCCAGGTGTGGTGGTATATGACTATAACCAGCACTTGGAGGGCTGAGGCAGGAGGATCAGCCTGAACTACGTAGCAAGATCCTGTCTCAACATCTCTCCAAAGGAAAAAGTCAGCTTTGTGAAGCTCTAAAGCAAATATGAGTGCTGATACATCTAGGGAGATTATACTTTGTCCCCAGTAATATTTGAATACTTAATACTTGAGTGTTTTTGTGCACCAGGAACAAAGTATGTTGGAAGTGTTATGCTTTTGTGAAAGAAAAGTCCCCTGCTCATGGACTATACATTGTAGTGGAAGAATCAGATGTATATAAAATGAAAGTAAAACAGTAAATGGAAAGTGAAAGGGGACAAGAATTAATTATAGTGTTTAAAGAAACTAAGGCTGTAATCAGCTAGTAACAGAAATGAGGAGAGACAGGCCAATTTGGGAGGAATAGAACAAGCTTGTCAGTTTGATTAAAGCACCACATTAGAACATAGTGTGGAAGGGGCTAGAAAATAGAGGCTTCTTGGGAAACAGCGGAAAATTTCCCAGCCATTTAAGGATTTTGGTCAAGGTCTGCTTTACATTTAGACATCACTAAATACTGTATACAAAATTTACTGTAGGAAGAATAGTTGGTAATCAGGAAAATTAGGAGATTCGGAAGTCCTTGCATCAAAAATGCTGGTGGCTTAGTCTAGAGTTGTAATGGAAATGATGTCTAGTAGCATCTGTTTAGATTTTTATAGACACAGCCAATAGGACTTTGGTCCATGAATTGGAAAGCAAGGTAATGACAAGGATGACTGAGTTTTGGGCCTGAGGGAGAAAAATTTAAGATTTCTGTTTTGAGGGGTTAGGGATTTAGCTCAGCAGCACTGTGCCTGCCTTGCAAGTGCAATGTCCTGAGTTTGATCCCTGGTACAAAAAAAAAAAAAAACAAATCTGTTTTGTACTTAGATTTGAGGTTCCTCTCTGATACCTAGAAATTCAGTGTGAACACCTGTGTATGACATTGAGAAGAGGGACCAGGTGGTAAATATTTGGAAAGTCTAAATAGTGTTCGAAGTCAGGTGATTAATGATTTTCAAGTTTATGTCCCTGAGTTGCCTCAGTTTGTTCAATTGCAGATTTCAAATCAGCAGGTCCAATATGGGTCCTGAGAGTCTGCATTTCCAACAAGCTCCTCAGTGATGCTGATATTTGGGGACCCACATTTTGAGTAACAAACAAGTAGATCCAGAAGAGAGGAGAAGAGGGTCCGGGTTACTTAGTATTCAATGTAGGGAGGAACCAGCAAAGGCCTTCTGAGAACTCTCAAGTAAACCAGAAAAATAGTACACCAGAATCAAGGAGATGAAAGTGTTACAAGAAGGGAGACACCCACTCACTCAGCGCTGTTCAAGTGAGATGAGTGCTGAGAAGTAACCGTTATGTTGTTAACTTTACAAAGCTCAACTTCTGGAGGTGAAGGCCTGCTTGAAGTAGGTTGTGAGCAGAAGGGAATTGAAAGAGTGACAGCAGGAACTGTATAGCCATTGAAGCTTTGGTGTAAAACGTTTGCAGAAGTGTTTTTATTTACATTCAAATAGTCAAACCTATTTGCAAAGCATTATTTTAGGTATTGGGAACAAAACAGTGACTCGAATGTTTTTTGTGACCTAATGGTACTTAAGATTGTTGGAGTTCATGTGGGTAAATGCACATAGCTTGGAAAATTTGGAACTAAGGAAATGAGATCATACTGTTCTAATATCTTCCACTTTCTCACTGACAAGCTAAGGGAAGAAGAATGGTTGTGAGTCTAGGAGTTAGAGGGGTATGTGAAGTGTCACAAACATGGGTGAGTGAATAGTCCAGGGATGCCAACTGAAACTAGGGGTAAGCAGAAGATCGTAGTCATAACTTCATATAAGCTAATGACTCGTTCTATTGTCTATATACAGGTAGGGAGAAAAGAGACACAAGACAACTTGTGTTCAAAATTTCTCTACAGTAAAATAAATGGTATCTTTGGATCCCGTTTCTTGAGTAGGGTCTGTCTAGCCTAGACTGGCCTAGAACTTGTAATGATCCTCCTGCCTCAGCCTCCTGCTGGGATTGTAGATGTGGGCCATGAGACCCAGTTCTTTGGTTCTCTTTATGCACCTAGCAGGTAGCTTCCAAAGAGGGCTTTGTCCTTAGTCCCCCTACGTAGAATGGAGAAGAGCAAGTCTATAAGGAGCAGTTCCCATAAGTAAGATAGACAGCTCTTCTGCTCTTGCTGAGCCATGCATTCACAGTTTGATGTTGTCCAAGATAAAATATTTTAAGTAATGTATGTTATTTTGGAACTGCCTTTATTATGATTTCCTAATCTGTCTACATCAATTAGAGAAGCTACAAACAGCCTTAATTTAGTCAAGTGCTGTAAACCAGGATTCCAGAGATCTGTGTCTGAGTTTGGTCAGGTCATGTCCTTGCCCTGCAGTTTGTTCATGTAGAAAATAAGTGATTTAATATATGGTTAAGTTGACCATCGCTATTATTCATGTCCCTGGACATTAATCTGAGCCTCATGGTCACAAACTTACTACTTAAAATAATGGCTTTTAATTTACGTAGGTGGTAACTAGATTAAAGTAGAATTTTCTAAACTACAGAAAGGTCTCAGTTATTTGGCTGTTTCTACATATTCTAGTATTTTAAAATATTACTGGATGCTTTCTAAATTGACTTATTTTTATGTAAATTTATTTTGAAAAGGAAGCTATCATTTTGCAAGTGCAAAATTGGTATCACTTTCTATGAATGGAAAATTACCTTAAGATATTCTAGCTATGTAATAGTGCCTGTGAAAACTGAGCCCAGAGTCTACTCCCTGTTTATTAAGAGGTGTGCATAATAACTAATACTGTACAAGGGTGAAAGACAGACACCAAAGTAATCAAATAGATTTAAAGAGAATGCCCATGTATGTATGTATATGTATATGTATGTATGTGTGTTTTGAGACAAGGTCTCACTATGTAGCCTAAGCTGGCCTCTGGAAATCCTTCTGCCTCAGCCTCTCCATTGCTGGGCCCACTACATTCAGCCAAAGAGAAATTTCTTAAATACTTCCTTACTATCCTTCTCTGGGAGACACTTTAAGCAAGAGAAGGTTAATCACTGCAGTTTTTAAATTATCATTATTAAACAAAATATTAGTGTTTCTTAATTAAAAGATACCTAGCTACATGCAGACGGATATCGCCTCTTAATCAGTGTTTCTATAAACCCTATAAGGAATTAACCAGCATTATAATATAACAGTAATTGACATGACTCCACAGGAATTATTAGTCTTGTCTATTTCTTATCTGAAGAATTAAAAAAAAAAGTCTTTCAATGCTTCTCTTTGCAAGTTAAGATTTCTTGGGACAGCTTTATACTCCTTCTGTTAGGTCCAGCATTCCTGACCTGAAGAAAATTCTGAGTTATTCAGATCACTTCCTCGGTCACCCACTTGCTAGTGGATTCTTAATTTAGCAGTTTTCATTATAAAAGCAAAGTTTCCAACTTTTTTATGAATTTACAACATGTCCATTATCTGCCATAAACCCTGAAGGAGATGTTTAGTGTAGCAGTGTATTTTGTTTGGTATTTTGGATAGTTGTGTATCCATAAGCACTGTTTTAAGATTTTAAATTTATTGGATGAAAGTTACCCTGCCATCTTAAGTGGCACTTTGAATCCTTTGGCATATAGTAGGATATAAACAAATGCTGTCTTCTCCCTTGTGACTCAGCACCATGTTCCCATGCAGTGATACCCTTCAGTCTTCCTCCCGCATGGAGGAACATTTGCCTCAGGCTGGTTTTTAAAGTAAACGTAGCTGCTTTTAATATTTTTTGTTTTTCTTCTAAAACTAGCTAGTAGCTTGTATCTTTCTTTTAGTTTACT